AGAGCGTCTATCAGATCACTGAAATGAGAACCCTCCAGGTTGTTCCAGGACAGGTCCAGTGTCCTCAATGTCGGGTTATTTCTTATTCCAGAGGCCAGGTGGGGGCAGGAACTGTCCGTCAGGTGATTATAGGACAAACTGGAAAAGAAATAAAAAATAAATTCTCCCCCAACAATGAATGCAGCTATTCCCTAACTCCAATTTTTTTTCATTTTTGTCAGTAGAAGGGCACATGGTATATGTTACTAATAATCTCAGGCCTGAAAAAAATATCCATCAGGGTCCCCCCTTACATCAGGGTGTCAATCATTGTCCCCCTTAAAGCAGAGTCCCCATCAAAGCCCCCCTTACAATGAGAATGTCCATCAGAGTCCCCCCCTTACAAAAGGGTCCTCATCATAGTCCCCTCTTCCATGATGGTCTCCTTCAGAGCCCCCCTTACATCAGAATACCCATCAGAGACCCCCCCTTATATAAGGGTCCACATCATAGTCTCCTCTTTCATCAGGGTCCCCATCAAAACCACCTTACAAAAGGGTCCCCATCATAGTCCCCTCTTCCATCAGGGTCCCTTTCAGAGCCCCCCTTACATCAGAATGCCCATCAGAGCTCCCCCGTTATAAAAGGGTCTTCATCATAGTCTCTTCTTCTATCAGGGTCCCCATGAAAACCACCTTACAAAAAGGTCCCCATCATAGTCCCCTCTTCCATCAGGGTCCCCTTCAGAGCCCCCCTTAGATCAGAATGCCCATCAGTGCTCCCCCTTTTAAAAGGGTCAACATCATAGTCCCCTCTTCCAACAGGGTCCCCATCGGAACCCCATTTACAAAATGGTCCCCATCATAGTTACCTCTTCCAACATGGTCCCCTTCAGAGCCCCCCTTACATCAGAATGCCCATCAGAGACCCCCCTTATATAAGGGTCCACATCATAGTCTCTTCTTCTTAAAGGGTCCCCATTGGAGCCCCACTTACAAAATGGTTCCCATCATAGTCCCCTCTTCCATGATGGTCTCCTTCAGAGCCCCCCTTACATCAGAATGCCCATCAGAGACCCCCCTTATATAAGGGTCCACATCATAGTCTCCTCTTTCATCAGGGTCCCCATCAGAACCCCTTTTACAAAAGGGTCCCCATCATAGTCCCCTCTTCCATCAGGGTCCCCTTCAAAGCTCCCTTACATCAGAATGCCCATCAGAGCCCCCCTTTTAAAAGGGTCCCATCATAGTCCCCCTCTTCTTTTTACGGTCCCCATCAGAACCACCTTACATCAGAATGGCCATCATTGTCCTCCCTTATACCCTTATAAAAGGGTCCCCATAATAGTCCCCTCTTCCTTTAGGGTCCCCATCAGAACCCCCCTTTACATCAGAAGCAGAGACCATAGGCAGTCCCTGCTGATTGAACTCCTCAATCAATGCGTATTGAGGAAATTCAATTAACTGTAGCTGTAGGTCGGATAAAATCTTGTCATGTCTCTGCTGGACCGGGTGTCTCCTTGCCCAGTTAAGTCCAGCAAAGAGACATCTCAGTCCAGCAAAGAAACAGCCCAGTCCAAGAAGGGACATCCCCATCCAGCAAAGAGACATCCCTGTCCAACAAAGAGACAGCCCGTCTCTTTGTGGATTGGGATGTCTCTTTGTGGATTGGGATGTCTCTTTGCTGGACTGGGCTGTCTCTTTGCTGAATGGGGATGTCTCTTTGCTGGATGGGAATGTCTCTTTGCTGGATGGGAATGTCTCTTTGCTGGATTGGGCCATCTCTTTGAATATATAGGGGGCACTGTGATTAGATCTCTTGGGGCACTGTAAAGTAAAGGGGCACTGTGACATAAAGGGGACTGCGCTGTAAAGGGGCACTGTAATCAATACAGTGCCACTTTACAGTGCAATCCCCTTTATATCACAGTGCCCATTTATATTACACTGCGGAGGACAAACTCTGTGAATATTCTGCCCCCCCCCCCCCCACACAGAAATTGGCTGCTCGGTCTACAATGCCTGGGCCTATTTTTTGTCCCAGTCCAGGCCTGGCCACAGGTATAGAAAATCAAGCCCCTAGGCATGCAGACTGCTTCTACAAACATTGGTGAAAGAATGGGTCGCTCTCAGGAGCTCAGTGACTCCAAGCGTGGTCCCGTGATAGGTGGCCACCTGGGCAATAAGTCCATCCGTGACATTTCCTGGCTACTAAATATTCCACGCTCAACTGTTAGTGGGATTATAACAAAGTGGAAGCAACTGGGAGCAACAGCAACTCAGCCACCAAGTGGTAGGCCACGTCACATGACAGGGCGGGGTCAGCGCATGCTGAAGCGCACAGTGCGCAAAAGTCGCAAACTGTCTGCAGAGTCAATAGCTAAAGACCTCCAAACTTGGTGTGGCCTTCAGATGAGCCCAAAAACAGTGCGTAGAGAGCTTCATGGAATGGGTTTCCATGGCCGAGCAGCTGCATCCAAGCGTTCCATCACCAAGTGCAATGCAAAGCGTCGAATGCCGTGGCGTAAAGCACGCCGCCACTGGATTCCAAAGCGATGGAGACGTTTTCTCTGGAGTGACCGATCACACTTCTCTGGCAATCCGATGGACGTGCGTGGGTTTGGCGGTTGCCAGGAGAACGGTACTTGCCTGACTGCATTGTGCCAAATATAAATTTTGATGGAGGGGGGATTATGGTGTGGGTTTTTTTTTTTTCAGGGGTTGGGCTTGGCCCCCTAGTTCCAGAGAAGGGACCTCTTAAGGTGTCAGCATACCAAGATATTTTGGACAATTTCATGGTCCCAACTTTGTGGGAAGAGTTTGGGGATGGCCCCTTCCTGTTCCAACATGACTGCCCCCCAGTGCACAAAGCAAGGTCCATAAAGACATGGAGGGGCCAGTTTGGGGTGGAGGAACTTGACTGTCCTGCACAGAGTCCTGACCTCAACCCCATAGAACACCTTTGGGATGAATTAGAGCGGAGACTGTGAGCCAGGCCTCCTCCCCCGACATCAGTGCCTGACCTGACAAATGTGCTTCTGGAAGAATGGTCCAACCTTCCCATAGACACCCTCCTAAACCTTGTGGATGGCCTTCCCAGAAGAGTTGAAGCTGTTATAGCTGCAAAGGGCGGGGCCAACTCAATATTGAACCCTACGGACTAAGACTGGGGGGCCATTAAAGGTCATGTGTGTGGAAAGGCCGGCCGACCAATACTTTTGGCAATATAGTGTACATACTGTACATGTTTTACATAAGATAAATATTTGTGTGAATATAGGTATTTACACATTGGTGCAAAAATGATATCTTTACTAGATGAAAGATGTAAAAAGTCTAAAGAAAGTTAAATAGGGAAACCAGTGAATCTATCCATACACATGCATAGACAACCAGCCAAGGAAACCAACTGGAAACAAATTGCCCCAGTTTTGCATATAACCAATATACTGTATATGTCAGGGGACCCAAACATTCTAAACAAAGGGCCAGTTTATTGTCTTTTTATTATACTTTAGGTGAGTTATGACTGTGGCCATTGGTAGTAAACAATGCCTCAGGCTTGGTGATCAGTGGGAGTAAAAAAATTACATTACAAAATTACATGGTCAGTGGGAGGAGGAATAGTGCCCCATCATTGGTGTCAGTGGGAGGAATAGTGCCCCATCATTGGTATCAGTGGGAGGAATAGTGCCCCATCATTGGTGTCAGTGGGAGGAATAGTGCCCCATCATTGGTATCAGTGGGAGGAATAGTGTCACATCATTGGTGTCATTGGGAGGAATAGTGTCCCATCATTGTTATCAGTGGGAGGAATAGTGCCCCATCATTGGTATCAGTGGGAGGAATAGTGCCCCATCATTGGTATCAGTGGGAGGAATAGTGCCCCATCATTGGTGTCAGTGGGAGGAATAGTGCCCCATCATTGGTATCAGTGGGAGGAATAGTGTCACATCATTGGTGTCATTGGGAGGAATAGTGCCCCATCATTGTTATCAGTGGGAGGAATAGTGCCCCATCATTGGTGTCAGTGGGAGGAATAGTGTCACATCATTGGTGTCAGTGGGAGGAATAGTGTCACATCATTGGTGTCATTGGGAGGAATAGTGCCCCATCATTGTTATCAGTGGGAGGAATAGTGCCCCATCATTGGTGTCAGTGGGAGGAATAGTGTTCCATCATTGGTAACATTGGAAGGATTAGTGCCCCATAATTGGTGTCAGTGGGAGAAATAGTGTTCCATCATTGCTGTCAATGGGAGGAATAGTGCCCCATCATTGGTGTCATTGGGAGGAATAGTGTCCCATCATTGGTAATATTGGAAGAATTAGTGCCCCATCATTGGTGTCATTGGGAGGAATAGTGTCCCATTGTTGTTGTCAGTAGAAGGAACAGTGCCCCATCATTGGTGTCAGTGGGAGGAATAGTGTCCCATCATTGGTAATATTGGAAGAATTAGTGCCCCATCATTGGTGTCATTGGGAGGAATAGTGCCCCATTGTTGTTGTCAGTGGAAGGAATAGTGCCCCATCCTTGGTGTCAGTGGGAGGAATAGTGCCCCATCATTGGTGTCAGTGGGAGGAATAGTGCCCCATCATTGGTGTCAGTGGGAGGAATAGTGCTGCATCATTGGTATTAGTGGAAGGAATAGTGCCCCAACATTGGTGTCAGTGGAAGGAATAATGACCCATTGTTGGTGTCAGTGGGATGAATAGTGCCCCATCATTGTTATCAATGGAAGGAATAATAGCCCATCTTTGGTGTCAGTTGGAGGAATAGTATTCCATCATTGGTGTCTTTAGGGGGAATAGTGCCCCATTGTTGGTGTCAGTAGAAATAATAATGCCCCATCATTAGAGCGGTTTCCAAGTCACGGATTCCACAGGAAACACCCCTTAAGCATCCAGGTTTTTGTACATGGGAAGAATGGGAAGAGGCTTCACAACAGACTGCATAGTGGTGAGAAGCCACTGGCCCCAACCCCCTTATCCTCCTTTTAGAGGGACACTACCACCCTAACTTGGGAGCAGGGGCGGACTGACCATTTGGAAACTCGGGCACTGCCCGAGGGCCCGGGGTCAGTAGGGGGCCCCGTGAGATGCCCCTGGTACCTTTTTCATAGGCTTTTTTGAGTTTGGGCAAGGACACAGGGGCCCCATGATCCCCTATTGCCCAGGGGCCCCATGAGTTGTCAGTCCGCCCCTGCTTGGGACTTATCTGGGCACTTAAGCCCCTTACTGTGAGATACAAATTTACCTGAGCGCTCCATGCAGGACTCTGGGCCCCAACCTTTAGTACCCCATTGGCCAGTAAGAAGGGTTTTGGAGAGACTCTGGGACCTTTTGGCCTCTAGCTGAGCATTACCTGTAGTGGGAACCATCCCCCCCCCCCAGACTTAGTGTTCAGGTGCCCACAGGGGCATTGGTTCCAGACATAATTGGGCCTCACATTATTTTTGTTGTGTTGTATACAGTACATTTGATTTACTGTTTTATTGTTGTTGTAATTTTTTTGGTGTTGCCTCCTGTGGTGTGTTGCCCAATACATATTCTTTCTACAGACCTGGTGTGTCAGAGGGTGTGGCAGTGCCAAATGGGGTCATTTCCATTTGAAGTAATTGAACCCCAACATCAGTGACTCCTCCGGGGGTAAGTACAGGGGCGTATTTACCACAAGGCAAACAAGGCATTTGCCTAGCGCGGCATTTTTCAAGGGGGCAGCACTGCCCTCCTGGAAGAAGGGACAGAAGATGGGACACAAATGCGGCTTGGGGACCAGATGGGATCTGAGAGAGGCTGCGGGCTGCTTGATTCTTGTTCCCGGAGATGTCCAGAGCTGTGAAGGTGAGTGTCTTTCTCTCTCATGCTGGGAGGGGAGTGGCCGATGTAGGGTGGCAATGGTTGTGGAGGGCTCTCTCGGGTGGGGGGGGGCAGGGGTGTTGTTGGTCAATGAGGCTCTCTTCGGGTTGGGGGTGTATTTTGTGTTGCCTAGGGCAATACAAATCCTAAATATACCACTTGGTAAGCACCATATAAACGAAGATGTATGAGCCAAGGGTCTCTCGGGATGGGACAGTGGAGTAAATTGAATATTTTGGTCCACATTCTGCCTACCATTGGGTAGGTCCACCAGACATGTATAGTGCCTCCTGTGCTGGTACAGCCTCTGAAGCATATTGGGGAGTGTGAAGGGTGGAGGTAGGCAAGTATGGATGGAACCATGTACACCAACAATGGGGCACCTTTCCTCCCATAGACACCAACAATGGGTACTATTCCTCACACTGACACCAACAGTGGGGCACTATTCCTTCCACAGACACCGACCTGTTTCTATTTCTCCCACTGACACCAACGATGGGGCACTATTCCTCTCACTGACACCAATGATGGGGCACTATTCCTCCCAAACACACCAACGATGGGGCACTATTCCTCCCACAGACACCAATGATGGGGCACTATTCCTCTCACTGACACCAATGATGGGGCACTATTCCTCCCAAACACACCAACGATGGGGCACTATTCCTCCCACAGACACCAATGATGGGGCACTATTCCTCCCACAGACACCAATGATGGGGCACTATTCCTCCCACAGACACCAATGATGGGGCACTATTCCTCCCACTGACACCAATGTTGGGGCACTATTCCTCCCACTGACACCAATGATGGGGCACTATTCCTCCCAAACACACCAACGATGGGGCACTATTCCTCCCACAGACACCAATGATGGGGCACTATTCCTCCCACTGACACCAACAATGGGGCACTATTCCTCCCAAAGACAACAACGATGGGGCACTATTCCTCTCACTGACACCAACAACAAGTTGCTATTTCGGTACCCTAAAGAGCAGATTCTGGGGAAGTTATATTGATTGAGCAACAGGCAGTGGTGGACCGAATTTTTGCAAACCCTACTAGGATTTGGTGTTTCCAAGATCCTTCTCTCACCTAGAAACATAAGAATGAGCTTTGTTGGTGGACAGGCAGTTGGGAATAAATAACAGTGAAATATAAAATTTTAGGAAAAGAGTCCTTCATGAATGATCACTGAATGTGAAATCAAGAAGTGGACAACTGTCCGGGATTGTCTCTTTATGGAGTCTAAGGATGAATTCGAAGTACATTTCCATATTTATATAACATTCATGCAATCTCCCCGAATATTATCGTCCCAGTCAGATATCTCATACTCACTGTAATTCCTCTATCCGGCTTGAGGTCAGAACTTCCATCAGATCCCTGAAGTGAGGACCCTCCAGATTGTTCTCGGACAGGTCCAGAGTCCTCAGTGTCGGGTTATCTCTTATTCCTGATGCAAGGTCGGGGCAGGAGCCGTCTGTTAGGTCATTTTTATACAAACTGTAGAAGAAGAAAAGAAATTTACCAGAGGAAAATTAATTTCTGCCCCAGGAATAAATGTAACTATTCTCTACATCAGGGGTCTGGAAACTTTCCAAGCAAAGGGCCAGTTTATGGTCCTTCAGACTTTAGGGGGGGGGACAGACTGTGGCCAGTGGGAGTAGAAATTGTCCTGACATTAGTGGATGTAAACAACACATCTCTGGTATTGGGGGGAAGGAATTGTACCCCGTCATCGGTGCCAGTGGGAGGAATAGTGCACTATTTTAGGTGTCATTGGGAGAAATAGCAACCCATTGTTGGTGTCTGTGGGAGGAATAGTGCCCTATTGTTGGTGTCAGTGGGAGGAATAGTGCCCTATTGTTAGTGTCAGTGGGAGGAATAGTGCCCTATTGTTGGTGTCAGTGGGAGGAATAGTGCCCTATTGTTGGTGTCAGTGGGAGGAATAGTGCCCTATTGTTGGTGTCAGTGGGAGGAATAGCAACCCGTCGTTGGTGTTTGTGGGAGGAATAGTGCCCCTTTGTTGGTGTCGGATGGAGGAATAGCACCCGTCGTTGGTGACTGTGGGAGGAATAGTGCCCCAATGTTGGTGTTAGTGGGAGAAAAATTGCCCCATTGTTGGTGTCCGTGGGAGAAATAGCAACCCATCGTTGGTGTCTGTGGGAGGAATAGTGCCCCAATGTTGGTGTCAGTGGGAGGAATAGTGCCCCAATGTTGGTGTCAGTGGGAGGAATAGTGCCCCAATGTTGGTGTCAGTGGGAGGAATAGTGCCCTATTGTTGGTGTTAGTGGGAGGAAAATTGCCCCATTGTTGGTGTCAGATGGAGGAATAGCACCCGTCGTTGGTGTCTGTGGAAAGAATACTGCCCCATTGTTGGTGTCAATGGGAGGAATAGCACCTGTCATTGGTGTCTGTTTAAAAAATAAAAATCCCAGTATCTATCCCGCCATTTGTATAACTTTCATGTAAACCAATTAATTTACACGTTTTGGGATCTTTTTTAGCAAAGACACGGAGCAGAATACATTTTGGCCTAAATTTCTGAGGAAATTTGATTTTTTAAATTTTTTTACTGGACATTGTATATAGCAAAAAGTCAAAAATATAGTTTTTTTTTTTCTCAAAATTGGCGGTCTTTTTTTTTATAGCACAAAAAAAAAAATGCAGAGGTGATCAAATACCACTGAAAGAAAGCTCTATTTGTGGGAAAAAAAGGACGTAAATTTCATTTGGGTGCATGAGCGCGCAATTGTCAGTTGAAGTAAAGTAGCGCTGTAAACACAAAAAATGGCCTGGTGAGGAAGGGGGGAGGGTAAATCCTCTGGAGGGCAAATGGTTAACAAGTGAAAAATAAAAACAGCATGTCCCCCTCCTCTCCCCCCCCCATGACAGGCGACCCCGCCCCTTGGTTTATCTACGGACGGCATTGGCTACCGGAGCTGTCAGTTGGTGTGTGCCCAAGGACGCTAAATAAAAGGTGTCACCAGTGACCACGCCCCCCCTTTGTTTATTTATCATCGGTGGGAACCAGAGATGTCAGTCGCCGGGAGGCAAGCGATGAGTGCAGACCTTTTTTTTTTTTTTTTTTCTGGTCGTCGGCATCCATCGTGATTGATAATGGGAGATTGTTTGGGGGGTGGAGGGGGGGTTGTTTATTTATTTGTTAAAATAAATGTTTATTTTTTAAAAAAAACTGTCTCTGTGTTTTTATTTTTGACACTTGAATGACTAAGAGTACAGAATATTCATACACCTGAGGAAAGCTGGGATCTGGGGGCCCCCTTGTTAAAGCCCACATATATATATACAACAAACAAGAGATCCCTGTGCTCAAATCCCAACAGCTAGTGCATGCATTTATCCATCAGGTGCTAAAGGGGTGTAGCCACATATTAACACTAGAAATTCTGAGGACCCTCTGCACACTGGTATATACCCTTTTAAGCAGACTAGATATCCCTATTTATTGCATAGTCTGCTTGAAAGGGTATATACCAGTGTGCAGAGGGTCCTCAGAATTTCTAGTGCACATATATATATATATATACACACACACACATACATTATATATATATATATATATGTGTGTCTGTACAGTGGGGCAAAAAAGTACTTAGTCCGCCACCAATTGTACAAGTTCTCCCACTTACAAAGATGAGAGAGGCCTGTAATTGGCATCATAGGGAGACCTCAACTATGAGAGACAAAATGAGAAAACAAATCCAGACAATCACATTGGCTGATCTGGAAAGAATTTATTTGCAAATTATGGTGGAAAATAAGTATTTGGTCACCTACAAACAAGCAAGATTTCTGGCTCTCACAGACCTGTACCTTCTTCTTTAAGAGGCTCCTCTGTCCTGCACTCATTACCTGTATCAATGGCACCTGTTTGAACTTGTTATCAGTATAAAAGACACCTGTCCACAACCTCAAACAGTCACACTCCAAACTCCACTATGGTGAAGACCAAAGAGCTGTCGAAGGACACCAGAAACAATATTGTAGACCTGCACCAGGCTGGGAAGACTGAATCTACAATAGGCAAGCAGCTTGGTGTGAACAAATCAACTGTGGGAGCAATAATTAGAAAATGGAAGACATACAAGACCACTGATAATCTCCCTCGATCTGGGCTCCACGTAAGATCTCACCCCGTGGGGTCAAAACGATCACAAGAACGGTGAGCAAAAATCCCAGGACCACACGGGGAGACCTAGTGAATGACCTGCAGAGAGCTGGGACCAACGTAACAAAGGCTACCATCAGTAACACACTACACCTGTCAGGAATCTGGGTATGACCAGAGGTGTGTGGACTGACGCAGGGAAACGCAGGCTTCAGATATGTTATAAACAATATAATTTATTAAGACTAACAATACAAAACGCAGTGCAAAACTAAACCTAAACACAGTGCAAACAAACCAAACCAAACCACCCACAGATAACAATACATACAATGCAAGAGTCATCAGGCAGGCCGGGTCAGTAGCAAACGGGCAAACGGAGTACCAGGAACAGGCGGGAGAGTGGTCGGGGTCACAAGCTGGGTTCAGTAACTCACGGGCAGCGCGGTGCAGAGGGTCAGGCAGAGAATGGTCAGGGTCACAAGCCAGGGATCAAACAGGAGAAGTCAGCAGAGGTCAGGATCAGGCAGGGTCGGCAACAAGTCAGACAGAAACAGGAACAGGAACAGGAATACAGGATACAAGTTACAAGATACAGGGGCCCATGGAAAACACACACCACGGCCTTGACTGTGAGTCTGGCCATTCCTTAAATACAACCCCCGTAATCAGCTTCAGGTGTTTGGCTGATTGCAGGGGTGAGTCTCTGATTGCTGAGAGCACCCGCTGGCCAGCCCTGGTACTGCAGCCCACAAGGCAGGTGAGTCCCACCATTATTGGCAAGTCCATTCCTGACAACGCCGCCAGTTACTCAGATCTTGCAGTGCCAGACGTGTCCCCCTGCTTAAGCCAGTATATGTCCGGCCCGTCTGAAGTTTGCTAGAGAGCATTTGGATGATCCAGAAGAGGATTGGGAGAATGTCATATGGTCAGATGAAACCAAAATAGAACTGTTTGGTAGAAACACAACTCATCGTGTTTGGAGGAGAGAGAATGCTGAGTTGCATCCAAAGAACACCATACCTACTGTGAAGCATGGGGGTGGCAACATCATGCTTTAGGGCTGTTTCTCCGCAAAGGGACCAGGACGACTGATCCATGTACAGGACAGAATGAATGGGGCCATGTATCATGAGATTTTGAGTGCACACCTCCTTCCATCAGCAAGGGCATTGAAAATGAAACGTGGCTGGGTCTTCCAACATGACAATGATCCCAAACATACCGCCCGGGCAACGAAGGAGTGGCTTCGTAAGAAGCATTTCAAGGTCCTGGAGTGGCCTAGCCAGTCTCCAGATCTCAACCCCATAGAAAACCTTTGGAGGGAGTTGAAAGTCCGTGTTGCCCAGCGACAGCCCCAAAACATCACTGCTCTAGAGGAGATCTGCATGGAGGATGGGCCAACATACCAGCAACAGTGTGTGCCAACCTTGTGAAGACTTACAGGAAACGTCTGACCTCTGTCATTGCCAACAAAGGATATATAACAAAGTATTGACATGAACTTTTCATATTCACCAAATACTTATTTTCCACCATAATTTGCAAATAAATTCTTTCCAGATCAGCCAATGTGATTGTCTGGATTTGTTTTCTCATTTTGTCTCTCATAGTTGAGGTCTACCTATGATGCCAATTACAGGCCTCTCTCATCTTTGTAAGTGGGAGAACTTGTACAATTGGTGGCTGACTAAATATTTTTTTGCCCCACTGTACAGACACACACACACATATATATATATATATTGAATATGGCCAAAATTGTAGTATTTCAAATATATATTTTTTCTTGTGGGTAGTGTGGACAAAATGGTAGAGGGTTCGGCCTCAGCAGGAGGGATGGCGTTCTAACAAGGCTATAGCAGCAGTAGGGACTTGTGCTCTTGACGCCAAATTTCACCAATCAGGAAGCTGCTCTTACTTTAATTCCTCAATCCGGCTTGTTGTCAGAGCTGCCATCAGGTCCCTGAAATGAGGACCCTCCAGATTGTTCTTAGACAGGTCCAGTCTCTTCAGCGTCTGATTATTTCGTATTCCACTGGCCAGGTGGGGGCAGGAACTGTCTGTTAGGTTGTTATTGGCCAAACTGTAGAAGAAGAGAAGAACGTTACCAGATGGTATACTTTTAGATTGTAAGCTCCCAGGAGCGAGGACCTCCTGACATCCAACCTTGGCTTGTATTGTAACTGTACTGTCTCCCTGTATGTTGTAAAGCACGGCACACACGTTTGGCACCAGGTAAATCCTGCATAATAATATCAAAAAATAATGACAGCTATAACGAGGATGAAAATAAAATTTGTTTTTCCCCCAGGAATGAATATAATTATTCTCTATATGATGATAACTCATGTTTTATAACTGGCATCATTTATATGAAATCCAGGGGCGGACTGACCATTTGGAAAAACTCAGGCACTGCCCGAGGGCCCGGGGACAGTAGGGGGCCCCATGAGATGCCGCTGGTACCTTTTTCATAGACTTTTTGAGTTTGGGCAAGGACACAGGGGCCCCATGATCCCCTATTGCCCGGGGGCCCCATGAGTTGTCAGTCCGCCCCTGATGAAATCACTTTATAAAACTCCAATATTGCCATCCATGTATAGATGTGATATCTCCATTCTTAGGATGACCATAGAATACCATTGACGTGAATCGTATTGTACTTTAATCATTTTGTAGGGCTCTTTCAGGACTCATCCTGTTCCTCCTTGCACAAAGGAGCAGATACCGGTCCTGCTGATTGGTTTAGGACCTTCTACGGCCCTGTCCAGCTCTCCTAGAGTAGCTGCCTGTCTCCTGGAATCTCCTCCATGCTCTTGAGACTGTGCTGGGAGACACAGCAAACCTGGCAATGGCAGGTATTGATGTGCCATCCTGGAGGAGTTGGACTGCCTGTGCAACCTCTGTAGGGTCCAGGTATGGCCTCATGCTACCAGTAGTGACACTGACCCTAGCCAAATGCGATCCCCGCAGGATGGATCGGATCTGCGGATTGAGCATAATGGATCGTAGTCCGATCCATTATGCTCCCCAATCCGCAGATCCGATCCATCCTGCGGGGATCATCGGCTTGCTTTACAACTTACCTTTTCGTGGAGCGGGTCCGGTGTCACCCCGTATTGGTTGCATGCCGACGTTCCCTGCAGGATGGATCGGATCTGAGAATTGAGCATAATGGATTGGACTCAGATCCATTATGCTCAATCTGTAGATCCGATCCATCCTGCGGGGATTGCCGGAGGGGGTGTCACCAAGTGTTATCGCACCGGGTTACACTAACCCTAGGGACACCCCTGCCTGGTGGGATTGTGATCATTGTGCGGATTGATATTTCATTTAGTTCTGTTATACTCACTATAATTCCTCGATTAGGCTTGTGGTCAGAGCTTCCATCAGATCCATGAAATGAGGACCCTCCAGATTGTTCTCAGACAGGTTCAGTGTTTTCAGTGTCTGGTTATTCCTTATTCCAGATGCAAGGTCAGGGCAGGAACTGTCTGTTAGGTGATTATAGGACAAGCTATGGAAGAAGAGAGAAATGTAACCAGAAGAAAATTAATTTCTCCCCCAGCAATGAATGAACTATTGTCTACAACAGCCTTTCTCAACCTTTCCAACACAGAGGAACCCTTGACATAACTTTCTGGTCTCAGGGAACCCTGGCTAAAAATTACTCTATCTACAACCCATGATACATCGGTGTGATGGTCAGTCGGAAGAATGCTCGTTACATTTGTGGTCATTGGGAAGAATGACCCCCTTATAGATAGATACAAATATCAATGGTCTTAGAGGGAATTTATCTGAGAGGTGGAAACTGCTCATTGCTCAAGGAACCCCCTTGTAATTTTTGGAGGAACCCTGGTTGAGAAACCCTGGTCTACATGATGGGAACTTATTTCTCTCTATCAGAATCATTTCTATTAGATCACATTAGAAAACCCCAGACAATTACTTTAAAAAAATATTTGAATGGAATTAATTCTGAACGAGGTCCTGTCCAAACCTGGAAGGCAGCCGTCAGTGCCAGGCTAATGAGCTGTAGATGGCTCAGTCCTTGCCCAGAAACTGTCCGTTCATCAAAGGGCAGGGATGCTCAAGACATAATTGACCGAATGTGACCACGTGGCTGTTTTAAGTCAATTACATTGAAGAAGAGAGAAATGTAACCCGCAGAAAATTAATTTCTCCCCCAGCAATGAATGAACTATTGTCTACAACAGGCTTTCTCAACCTTATCAACACAGAGGAACCCTTGAAATAACTTTCCAGTCTCAGGTAACCCCGGCTAAAAATGACTCTATCTACAACTCATGATCAGGGGCGGACTGACAACTCATGGGGCCCTCGGGCAATAGGGGATCATGGGGCCCCTATGTCCTTGCCCACACTCAAAGTACACCCAAAAAAAAAGCCTATAAAAAAGGTACCAGGGGCATTTCATGGGGCCCCCTACTGACCCCCGGCCCTCGGGCAGTGCCCTAGTGCTCAAATGGTCAGTCCGCCCCTGCTCATGATACATCGGTGTGATGGTCAGTGGGAAGAATGTTCCTTACATTTGTGGTCATTGGGAAGAATGACCCCCTTATAGAGAGATACAAATATCCATGGTCTTAGAGGGAATTTATCTGAGAGGCAGAAATTGCTCATTGCTCAAGGAACCCCCTGGTAATTTTTGGAGGAACCCTGGTCTGCATGAGGGGAACTTATTTCTTTCTATCGGAATAATTTCTATTAGATCACATTAGAAAACACCAGACAATATACTTAAAAAAAATATAATGGAATTCATTCTGAACCAGGTCCAGTCCAAATCTGGAAGGCAGCAGGCTAATGAGCTGTAGACGGCTCAGTCCTTGCCCAGAAACTGGCCATTTGTCAAAGGGCAGGGATGCTCGAGACGTAATTGACCGAATGTGACCACAGGGCCGTTTTAGGTCAATTACATTGACTTAATAAGGCTATGTGGCCATATTAGGTCAATCATGTCATGAAAATCCCTGCCCTTTGGTGTACGGCCAGGGTCTGCAGCTCATTAGCCTGGCACTGACAGCTACCATCCATGTTCAGACCAAATCCAAGCTCAGTAGACACGCCAACATTTTCATACCTGTGTAGAGACGGTGATTTCTCCATATATAGGCGTGTTATGTTAGTCTACTTTTGATGTATATATAAGCAGATTGTGATTTTTTTCAAATTTCAATAAAATTTCTCTGTTGTTTTCAGAAGCAAACAACATCAGTTTTTCATGTGGGAACATCTCTCAAACTGTCATTAGAACAATGTTTGTGCATGGCTAGTTACTGTCTTCCAATGGGAAAAAAAGATATAATTGTGGCATACTGGACAAACTAAATGATAAGTCAGATGATATACACATTTTTTAGCTATTGCAATTGCTTGCTTTAGAGGAGCTTTTGTCAAACATTGGACCCAAGCTATGCCAATAGAAACAAACAATAACTTGACCTTTTGACATTTTTTGATGCACGGCACATACGATACTACAAGGTGTGGAGCTAAGAAATGGTTCCCTCAAAGAAACTGGTGTAAGAAGATTGTGGAGATAGAAAGGATTACACCCACATGGGATTGGCTAATGAACTTTCTAAATAAAAAGCCGACAGTACAAACTCGAAAGGGGAGGACAACAAATCTACTCTGCAAGCAAACCAGCTTAAGATACAGCTTTTCTACAAACACTTTATGTCTGAAGTCCTGTTCAATGAAGAAATTGTGGACCAGCTATAACAAAGGATAAGTAATGTATAGTGTACCCTTTCTGCATGCATACTATTGGCAGTTTTCATTTTCTAGGAGAAGCTAAATTAGCATAACTATGTATGCGTGTATGTGACACTCTGTATGTCCGCTATTATTTCCCTACAACCGTAAGTACAGGGGTTTGACAAAAATATGGAAACACCAGGTAAAACAACAAAATCGCTGCCTTATATGGTGGTGGACCACCTATGGCATCCTATGGCCTGAATTCTCCTGGGAATTGACAAATATAAGTCTTGGATGGTGGATAAAATCGTCTCATTTCTCGCAAAGATGCTGGAGGCAGAAAACCAGTCCAAACCTTGTTCTCCAAAATTGACTAAAGTGGCTCTATGATACTGAGATCCAGCGACTGCGGTGCCCAGGGATGGCTTCATCTGGATGCTCATCAAACCACGATTTCACAACACCACTATCACGTACCTGGTGATGGAGGCCAATGGAGAGAGGGCTTCCCTTGTGGCTAAGTTCCAGACTCCCCTGAGAGTGGGACAGCGGTTGTCAGGCCCAAAGTGGCACAGATTGCCTGTAGGAGTGCTGGTTGGTGGTCCACTCAGAAGCACAGCTGGTGCACGGAGATAGGTCTGCAGACAGGAGATGCCTGTGCATGGTATGCAAGCCCTTCCGGGATTTAGATGTTTACTGGGTAGTCAGTTCAAGCCAAGGTCAGGTACCAGGTGGGAATCAGAGCAGACGTAGTCAGATGGGAAAGCCGAGGTCATACACAGAGCAGCAAGAGAGAGAGAGTATCCGTTAGCCAAGCCGAGGTCAGATCAGGGGTTAAGCAGAGTAGACAGGTCCAAGAGCAAGCCCGGTCGGTTTCAGGAAATCACAGGTCAAATAACACAGGAAACAAGAACCAGGAACAAGGCACGGGGAGCTAGAGATCATCCAGCAACTTGAGGAAGTGAAGAGCTTCCTTATAAAGGCCGTTTGGTGCCAAAACTGGGCCTGATGCGTGCGCAACTATGCGCCAGTGCGCATGCGCAGGACGGCTCACGTCCGTGTGTCAATGTGCATGGATCTTCGCCACCGTGCATTTCCGCAGCCATGTAGGGTACTGGCGGAATTGCCCGGTCTTCCAGGACTTCTGCCGTGGACAGGACCCTGACAACCAGCTGTGTGAATCAAGCATTATCAATATGGTAAATGGTGATGCCTTTGGGAAACAATGTCTGCACCATGGAGTGCATATGGTCGGCCAAACTTTGTAGTCGCTGGCAGTGGCTCTACCTTTCAGGGTGATTGTGGGGCCTGCAGGATACCAAGATATGGCTTCCTGAACCATGATTGTGCCACCACCATGCTTTACTAATGACACAAGACAGTCTTGGTTGTAAGCTTGATACATTGTTCTCCACACGTGCACATGTCTGGTGGTTGGGAAGAGTGTGAAGCTTGATATATCAGACCATATTACAGTCTTCCATTGATCGATGGTCCACGATTTATGAATGTTGCACCACTCTCTCCTCTTCTGAGCCTTCATGCAAGTCACTAATGGTTTGGCAATTGCAGCTCACCTGTGAAAGTTTAGCTTTGGAGTTTCCTCCATACAGTTTGTGGACGCAGATTTTGGATTTATGGATGTTGCACCACTCTCTCCTCTTCTGAGCTTTAATATTGGTCACTAATGGTTTGGCAATTGCAGCTCGCCTGTGAATGTTTTGCTTTGGAGTTTCCTCCACACCGATTTTGTGGACACGGATTTTGGATTGATGAATGTTGCACCACTCTCTCCTCTTCTGAGCC